AAGATTTTGACGGGTCGGAGGATTTTAACGACTTCCTGGCCCATTTTGAAATTCTGGTAACCTTGCATGGCTGGGACTATAGAACAAAATCCCTCTACTTAGCCAGCAGCCTTGCCGGTAGTGCCAGAGCTCTGCTCACCGAGTTAAATGAAACCCAAAGAACGGATTACAAGTGTTTGGTGGATATTTTAAACAGACGATTCGGGTCTGTAGAAAGAGCGGAACATTTTAGAGCCCAACTTAAAACTCGGGTTAAGGGAAACAATGAAACCATATCTGAACTGGCCCAATCCATTAAGAAATTAACCCGCCAGGCCTACCCAACCACTGATCAAAGTGTGCTAAGTATCTTAGCCCTAGAACAATTCATAGATGCCCTACCTGACCCTGATATCCGTCTCCGATTAAGAGAGGCAAGACCCAAAGATATCAATGAGGCGGAAATTCTAGCTATTCGCCTTGAAACCCACAGAATAGCTGATGCTCAGAGATCTGCTTCTACCCTTACCATCAACCCCATTCACAGTAATGAGTTCCAAAGCCTTAGGGAAGAGTTAATCACTATAAAAAAAATAGTGACAAACAATCAAAATCCAAAACCCTATTATCCACCCAAAGTTCAATCACCCTACCAAAATCAAGGCCCTACTCCTTACTTCAATAACTTTAAACCACAACCCAACGGAGTTATGTCCCCTCAACAGAATTTTGGGCCAAGACCGAATCAACCCCCAAAACCATTTCATAAAAACAAAAATTGGAAAAATAATTACAAAAGCCCTGAACCCAACCAATTCAGACCCAATGGACAGGGAAACCTGCCTTTGTCGAATTCAGGGGTCGGAAATCGGCAATTCCACGGGGCAGGCCCCAACCACTCTCAGTAACTCCTCAAACCCTCCCACAAAATGTTAGGCAAAATTCTAATTGTTGTACTGATGAATTTAAGAATAACCCAGTTCAAGAAAATGTAAAAATTAGCCCCCAGCCTAACATTGAAAATACAAAAGAAATTTTAGTGGGAGACATTAAGGGGGAAAATGATGGCATTTATGTCAAGGGTAAAATTTTAAATGAAGAAACAAAAATGTTAGTTGATACAGGTGCTTGTGTCACAATCTTAAGCACAAAGTTCTTTGGAAATTTAGAATCTGAGGAAAAGCCCCAAATTACCCCAGTTTCTATTAAACTTGTATCTGCAAGTGGAGACCTTATTTCTGTACAGGGTAAATGTTCCATCGAATTATTATTTGAAAATTTGAGAATCTCTCAGACAATGTTAGTGGCAGATATTAAAACCCCATGTATTTTAGGGTTAGATTTTCTGAGTGAAAACTCTTGTGACCTATCCTTGAAAAAGATGATGTTAAAGATTCAGGGCCTAGAAATACCTTGCTTTAACAAATCTTATAAGGAAGTGTCTTATTGCAAGATAAGTCTTGCAGAGGATATAACCATTCCTCCCCATTCTGAGTATGTTGCCCCGGCTAGGATTACGGATCCTTTGTTTGAATCAAAAGTTGGTTTAATTGAACCCCTGGAACAATTTGTTCAAAAACATGAAGTATTGATACCCAAAATCATTACAAAAGTACAGGGAACGGAGATTCCTGTAAGATACTTAAATTTGAAAGATGAGAGTGAAAAACTTTAGAAGAACACCCATATTGCCACTATTGAAAATGTTGAATTGGTTGAAAACCCCAAAGACCCCAACCAAACTTTTGCCCTCAATACCATAGAATCAAATGGTTCACCAAAATTACCCACCCACTTGCAGTGTATTTTAGAAAACACTACCAAAGAACTTTCACCCGAACAAAAACAAAAGCTAGAAACTTTATTGTTAGAGTACCAAAATAGTTTCTCAACATCTTCTACTGACAAAGGCCTGACAAATTTAGTTGAACATAAAATCAACACTGGTAATGCCCCTCCAATAAAACAACCACCCAGAAGAATACCCTTAGCTAAAATGCAAGAGGTTGAAAAAGAAATACATGACATGTTAGAAAAAGGTGTTATTGAAACTTCTAATAGCCCCTGGAGTTCTCCAATTGTGTTAGTCAGAAAGAAAGATGGGTCTATTCGTTTCTGTATTGACTATAGGAAACTTAACGATGTGACCATCAAAGATAGCTACCCCATCCCACGTATTGATTTTACCCTTGATGCTCTGTCAGGCTCGAAATGGTTTTCCACCATAGACCTAAAGAGCGGGTACTGGCAAGTCAAAATGGACCCCAATGACAAACCCAAAACTGCTTTTTCCATACCTGGGGGTGGACATTGGCAATTCCTGAACATGCCCTTTGGCCTGTGCAATGCAGGTGCAACCTTTGAAAGGTTGATGGAAAAGGTGCTCTCCAATCTGTCCTGGAAAATATGCATGGTCTATTTAGACGTCATTATTATCTTGTCAAAAACGTTTGATGAACACATTCAAAATTTAAAGCAAGTTTTTGAAAGATTGAAATCTGCAAATCTCAAGATGAATCCCAAGAAATGCAATCTTTTACAAAATCAAGTTTCATTTTTAGGCCATGTTGTAAACGAGAACGGAATTTCCACTGACCCAGACAAAATTATAGCTGTTCAAAATTGGCCAGTCCCAAAATCGGTTAAAGACATAAGAAGTTTCTTAGGCTTATGTACCTATTACCGAAAGTTTGTCCATAAATTTGCAGATATTGCCAAACCCCTCCACAAGCTAACTGAGTCAAAACAAGAATTTTTGTGGGATAGTAATTGTCAAGAAGCCTTTGATAAACTGAAACGTGCCCTCACCAGCTCCCCAATTTTATCATACCCAAGTAATGAGGGACTTTTCATTCTTGATACCGATGCCTCTAACAATGGTTTAGGGGCAGTGTAATCACAAGTTCAAGATGGTACTGAAAAAGTCATTAGCTACTTTAGCAAAACATTCAGTGCATCTGAAAGACGGTATTGTGTAACACGCCGAGAACTATTGGCAATTGTCAAATCCATCAAGAATTTCCATCATTATCTTTATGGCCGAAAATTTAAGGTTAGGACCGATCATGGTTCCTTAACTTGGCTTTTAAATTTCAAAAACCCAGAAGGCCAAATTGCTAGATGGTTTGAGTACCTTTCACAATATGTATTTCAAATTGAACACAGAGCTGGCAGAATCCATAACAATGCCGATGCTCTTTCCAGAAGACCTTGCCCTGAAAATTGTGTTCATTGCAATAAGGCAGAAGATAAATTCAATCTTCTGAAATCACTACCCTTATCTGTTGTAACAAGATCATCTAAAGACCCTAAGCCCAGTAATGATGATAATAGTACCCTTCCAACCCAGTTGTCTGACTCCATAGATGTCAAACTTGCCCAAGATCAAGATCCTATCTTAAGTACGGTCAAAGACTGGGTAAAGTCTAATGAAAGTCCCAAATGGGAGCAAATATTCCACCTCAGTGAAATTCATAAGTATTACTGGGTGCGATATGACTCTTTCAAAATAATGCAAGACATACTGTACCATAAATGGGAAGATGCTCAAACAAAATACCAACTAGTTCTACCCCAGTCCCTAAAAACAATAGTCCTATAACAACTACATTCTAGTATAACTGGTGGTCACATGGGTACCAAAAAGACTTTGTCCAAAATAAGAGACAGATATTTCTGGCATCACATGTCAAATGATGTTCAAGATTTTAGTAAACAATGTGACATATGTGAATCCAGAAAATCCCCGAACAAGCTACCTAAAGCACCATTACAAAAATATGTAGTGGGAGCCCCATTAGAAAGGTTAGCTATTGATATCATGGGACCCCTTCCCCTTACAAAGAAAAAGAATAGCTATCTCATGGTAGTGGGTGATTATTTCACAAAATGGATCGATGCCATTCCCTTAAAGAATCAGAAGTCCCACACCATTGTCCAAAAACTTTTAGAAAGAATCATAACTATATTTGGAGTCCCTATGGAAATCCATTCAGATCAGGGTAGATCCTTTGAATCTAAAATATTTAAAGAAATGTGTAAAATCCTGGGAATTGAAAAGACCCGAACAACCCCATATAGGCCACAATCTGATGGCATGATCGAAAGAGCCAACAGAACTATTGAGAACATGCTTGCCACTTTTGTTGATGAAAATCAACAAAATTGGGATGAACTCATACCCTACTTAATGATGGCCTATCGTTCTTCCATACACGAATCTACAGGCGTTAGTCCTGGTGAAATGGTCTTTGGTCGTCCCATCAATCTCCCCATTGACCTTGTCCTTGGTACTCCAAACCCTGAAACAAATCAAATGTATGCATCAGAATACTCAAACCAATTAAGTAAGAAAATAGAAGCTATCCACAATTTTGCTCGAAACAAATTACAGTTATCTTCCAAGAAAATGGTTAGAGAGAACAGTAGAAAAATAACCCATAACAAATACAATGTTGGTGACCTGGTTTGGTTTTATTCACCCAAGTACCCATTACATGGCAGAAAGTTATGTAGACCCTGGACTGGTCCATACACTGTCACTAAAAGGGTTAATGATGTCATATACCAAATCAAGAAAGCCCCTAAACAGAAACCTAAAACAGTGCATCATAATCTATTGAAACCTTACCGTGGTACACAAAACCCCCTTACCTCTCTGTGATGATTGTGCTCACCCCTTAATATATCCATTATTTTTGTATTATTTACTGCCAAATCATCCATTTCCCAATACCAAAATATCCTAATATTTTTACAGATACAGAAATATAAGTGTGGGATATGTGATGCAGAATTCTCCCTACCCAGCCTTTGTGAGTGTCACATGACTGCCGTCCACTCTGGATTTGGTCACATGTGTACAAAATGTGGTATGGTCTTTACCAAAAGGGACGCAAAACACGGATGCCAAAATTACTCCCTGCAAATTGTCAAAAGATCAACTTGCACCTTTACCGGCGAGGAAGCAGCGGAATTTGAAAAACTTTCAGAAAACAAGATCTAAATTCTGTATTCCTTTCATGAAGAATGTACCGCTAAACCATCGACATTTATTCAACCAGTCATCCAAAAGAGCCCTTCTTACAGATCCCTCTATTCCAAAGAAGAAAAGGAGATACACTAAGAGAAACATTCAACAAACTAAAAACATACCAGCACTCATGGAGTTGGAGCTGCCAATTCCACCATCGTTCAACGCAGAGATGAGAGGACCAGGACATGTGGAACCCCCCTCAACAACTGCTTTAGATCTGACGAAAGATGTCACTAATGGTCAAGAACCAGCACCCAAACCAGCACCTCCAGGACCTGCGGATCCTCTTCCAGACACCCCTCCGGCTGAGACAAGCAATAAGGAAACCCTGGAAGGAGACCTCCAGCTTAGTGAGTCCACAAAGTCTGAAAAACAAGAAGACGAGTTGTCATTATTTACGGATGGTGAAATTGACCCAGTAGAACCGAGTACCGAAGAAACAATTCCCAATGCCAAAAATGTAACCACTCAGGTTTCAGAACCAAGAACCCCATTAATGGACAAGAAGTCAATTAAACTACTTACCCTGGAAGCCCAACAAACGGAAACAATAACCCTGGACATTGGAGGACAAATTTTTAAAACTTCTAAAACCACGTTGCGGGCGGACCCATCATCTATTTTAGCTCTTCTAATCTCTTCGGAAAACTACTCTTCAGACAGAAACCAGCTCTTCTTAGACAGGAACCCGAAACACTACCTTTTTCTTCTGGATTACTTACGGAATAACTTCAAACTACAAACTTCAACCCTGCCGAAGGACCTACCAACCCTACAGGAGATTTTGATGGAAGCAAAATTCTTGGAATTAGACGACCTCGTCAAGGTATTGGAAAACCTATTGAAGGATTCGTGTTATTAAGTGAACTTTTTATGGACGTTGCGATCGCGGATTCTTCTATTAACTTTGCGCGCACTATGGATACGTTTATCTATATTGTGAAAACTGTGTTTATGAATTCAATATTCAGTGAAGGACCATGGAGTCACCCAGTGATTAAGTGCTTGTTGGACACTTCCCCATTGCTCGAGTTGAAGGTATATGTATGAACTTTGTAATTGAATTACATGTATTAAATGAATTGAATTATTATATGATATAATTTGTTCATGTCCATTTGTAAACATTGTCATATTCATAATATGGAAAGTTTTCTTATAATAATGTATTATGATGTTATTCATTATAATTGCATATTGTATTCACATGTATGATGTTTTTATGTAATTAAATTATTAAGTGATATTCCCACAACTTATGCTTAACATTCGGGACGAATGTGTTTAGGAGGGGGGCTCTGTTACGTTTTTACTACCCCAGTCATGTTGTATTTGTCCCGATTATTAAATATTGTGTTAATAATATTGTATCATCTCATTTCTTAATTTGTCCGATGTGGGAATATCACCATACTATCGATAATGATGTATAAACATGTTTGTATGTATTATCGTAGGGTCACCCGAATTTCCTCCATATAAACATTTGAACCATGCACATCATTATATTTGCAAGACCCGTAACCCCCAATTCTTACCTGTATTATCTATGGCATCAATTACTAAGTCTTTTTCTTACATTTCCCTACCATTATCTCCCTATAATACACCCTTTTACGTTTAATTCCAAGGCTAGGCCAAGCGTTCATCTCTCCCAAATATGGCGCTAAACTGAGCGGTACTGCTCAGTTCGCGCGAGGATACATTCGGCCCTAGTGATCAAAAGGTATATATACAGCGGTTTTAGACCCAACGGTCACTTTTCGTCCCCAGCCCATACCGAAAAGTCACTTGGCCTTGGAAGCTTTGAAAATAATTATTTGCTACTGGTTTGACTGGAAATTGATTATGGATAATCCGGATCCAGAAAGAATGGTAAATATTATTTAAGACTTTTAGACCCAATTATTTGTAAAAGCTTGAATTTGATGCCAATCCCCGGCAGATCCATACCCAATTGATTATTTGATGCCAATCCCCGGCAGATCCATACCCAATTGATTATTTGATTATAAATTCATCCGGTTGACCCATTTGATCCGGATACCCATTTATTTTCGGGTGACCCATAATTTATTATTGCCTAATTGCCAATTCTTATTGTTATTTGTTATTCATTGTTTGCACCATAATAACTTTTATAAATTTGCAACCTGACTTTTCATTTAGAGTTAAAGGGTAAAATTCAGAAACAGGAGACCCACAATAACTTATGGAAACATTTTTTAATCTAGATGAAAAAAGATAAAAGTTACTTCCATTTACAGTTACAACATATTTTACATACTCCTATATATTTTTTTAATTCTTCACATAACACTGTAAAACTTTGATTTAGCAGCCATAGGCAGAGGTCTGTATGACATTCAACTCCTTAAAAAATCTTCAGATACTGTAGTCAACCATTTATTTGGTCATTGGCAAGGCAAAGTGAGGACAAGTGCTTGATATGTGCCTAAAAAAAACAGAACAAATTTGGGATATAGAACAGTAATCCAAAATAAATAAACAAACAAATAAGTTATTTTTATTTGATTAATGATTAAAGTTAATTCCAATTTTTATTTCTAAAAATATTTCGAACATTAACAGTACATACTGAAGATTAGTTGTTAAGAACTTTAAATATCTTTAAACACAATTGTAACAGAAAATAAAATTTAAAATCTACTACTTGACAGATTCAAAGAACCTTTCCGAGTTAATATGTATTACATGTATTTAGATAACAAGACGCGTTCTGTATCGTACGCAGCACAGTTAAGGTTACAAATGGAAATATCGGCGATTTTTAAAGATAAAAAATACATACTTTATTAGGGTGGGCGATTCTTTTTAGGAATTTACTGATATCAAAAAAATGTAATGTGGTTTAAATCTACATGTTGGGGACATATAATTTTTCTATTTAGAATTGTGATGCGATGTCGACGTCACATGACTTTGGCAATTATACTTGCAGTTTAGAGGTCATCTATATATTTCAATATTGCAAGGGCATAACCAAGTTAAAAATCTTAGTTCATTGTATAATCCTATACAACACTATATGTAGTTTGTGAAAAGTGCTGCGAACCTATATAGATTCATTTTTTTAATTGGTAAAATTTAATTTGTTGGACGGCAGGTTGAATATTTTGCTGGTCAACTACATTAAATATAGCTATAATTAATTTATTTGCAAGATTTCAAGAGGTTCGCAGCACTTTTCAAATATCTTAATGCTTCTTAAGTTTGTGTAAAATCTTGAAAAGATACATTGAGGGTATGCCCTTGCAATAAATCGATTTATTAGGGCCCTTCCATTACTTTTTCAATGAATCTGCATACAAACACACGACATTATCGCTTGTCTGGAGAATGCACGTACAGTTTATAAATAAAATACTAAAATAGACATCGCATCCAAGTTAACGGCTATTTATTTTACTACAAATAATATTTTATCTGAGAACAAAAGACTTTTTTCATTGTACAAAATGTGACTTGATCAGCCTCTCACTGTGTAAAGACTGCGTCATTTTTTGCGAGATGACGTCACATTGACAAGTGCATTGTGATCGATGCATCGTTTATATACTGTTGTGTGGGATTTAACAAACGACAAAACTGCATGTAATAGTAAGTTTGTATGTAGCATACAGCTATCCAGCTGTTTGAAATAACAAATAATTTCATTTTGTTGTATTTTGAAGACCTTACATTATGTGTGACGTCATAGTAAACATTTCCCGTACAAATTAGGCCCCGCCTCCTTACTGTAACCTTAACTGTGCTGCGTAGATACAAATTTGGGGGTGGACGAGTGCGTTGCACGAGTCTCCACCCCCAAATTTGTATCTACGATACAGAACCTGTCGAGTTCTCTAAATGATTTGTGACACGATCAATCAAAAATAGTCCCACCCACTTTTTAACTGTGCAGCATCCAAACTTCCGCCAGTGTTCTGTACATGAAGCCCCGTCAAGGAGTACCCATCCGCAGTATATATATCCGGTACTTCCATGAAATATGTACGATTCGGTCAGATCGGTTTTGACAATTTAATGGGGTGGACGTAATGAGTGTTGGTCAGTCTTGGATAAGGTTGAGGATTTAACCTGTATTTGTTGTGGTCTGTTGGAGTTTGAGATTGATTATAATATACTTCAGCCCTCTTAAAATCCCGGTTTAATAACTAGATTTGCAAAAACAGGATATACAGAAAACTCTTCGATGGACTTTGATGTCACAAATTTTTAATTTCTAATTGAATTATGACATTAAAAATGAAGTGAAAGAGATGTGTGGCTGTCGTCAGCGATTTACGATGATATTTTTAAAATAAAAAACACAAAAAATGGACTTGAATGATTTTTGCACAAGGAGAGTGGATGTTTTCTGTTATTGCAAATTTTCCTTCTTGTCTGGATCGAAATTACGTGTAGATTCTGTGTAGAATACGTTTTTAAAAGTGATTGTGAAATTTTGGCATTTAACATTCCCAGGGAAATATTTCTCCCAAAATATTTATAGCAGGAAAACATCAGCATTTACTATTTGTACATGCTTTTGATAAATTGAATCAGATTAATTTTTAGATCGTGCTGTATTTTAGATAGAGAATAGTTGGCTGATACAAGACAGTATACAGGGCTAATACAGAACGGAAAGTAGCTATGCCCACCATAGTCCCAAACAGTAAACTTCAAAGAAAAACACCGCTATCTTGTCACAATATACAGTTATAGACTTCATAAAGGTCAATATGTGGTTTTAAGGACTCATGGCAAGTGATATTGGCCAAAAAAACAGGATGTCATAATTATTTTTTTAAATGGTACCATTATACCTTTGCACATCTCTCATCTTCCTCAAAGAAGCTCCTCTTGACAGTCACAAAATACTGTGTTATCTTGTGCGGGAAAGCACCAACTAGTCTATGGTCTTATTCCAAAAACTTCTGAATTCACATGAAAAGGACCTTCAACAAAGATAAAGAATCATGATGAATTCTTGAACACATATAAAGTAAATAATTATACTTTCATTGATTCCAGAGAAATATGACTCTCAGTTGCCAAGTTAATTTTCTTCAAGGTTGATAGTTTCTTATAGATTTCCTTTATTGCATGCAGTTTGTTGCATAATGGTTGGGTAGTCCGAAAAATCTGACGTTTTCCTGGCTTTTTTACGATTTTGATATTTTACATGCCAGGAAAACGTCAGAACCGGCGCCATTACAAAAACTGGAAATTTCCCCTCTTCAACTGGAGTGATTTTCGATACTTGTGAACCGAACTAAATGCCGAAATCAAAATTTATCAAATCCACAATGCCTCTAGTACTCACAAATATCGATGAAAAGAAAATATCACTCCACATTTCGTAACAGGACATGCAAGATTTTAAAATGCACGATTTGAAGACAAATCTCGACAGTGTGATAAAACCTTTTTCAACGGATTATTTATTTCATAAATGAACCATAAAAACTATATTGGTAAATTCTTTAAGTATTGTACTATTGAAAACTTTTGACTTTGAAATTCAATTCAGTTCGCAAGTATCAAAAATCAACTCGAGAATGCCGCCCCCGGTTGGAGGCAGCAATTAACAAGTTTATGTTATGGCGCCGGTTCTGACGTTTTCCTGGCATGTAAAATATCAAAATCGTAAAAAAGCCAGGAAAACGTCAGATTTTTCGGACTAAATAGTTGGGATGGGGGAGAGGTTTACGTGATATGTTTCATAAAAATGTTAAAAATTATACAAAATTCAACATTTCATATTAGTTATTATTATTAAAAAAAACATCCAAGTAACATAACCTTGCTGAAGAAGTGACACCACAAAAAAAAACATCCAAACTTGCAGTTCGG